CTTTCTTTGAGAGTATCCCATGATAGGGGTCGAATTTTGCTAACCATGAACCAAGGCACGTCCAATTTTGCAAAATACGACTCGCCCTGGAAATTTCCTCCAGCGGTACGACCCCCACCACTTCCTCATCACCCAAATTCTTCTTCCACTTCTTAAAGGCATAAGGCACGATAATTTTGTACTCGGTCAAAAATGGCAGCAGGGGTGCTGTGTAGTGAGAAAACGGTGAGAAAGCGAAGTAAGACGTTCAAAAATCTGCAGAGAAGGTCTTTGTTCTACACGATTCAGGAAGCAATTTCGGACGAGTTTCCCGTTGGCATCGTGCCAATAGCCAATAACATTACGGTGGATACGGCTGCATGTATGTACCCAGACCATGCAGCACCGCAGCCGCTTCATATCAGTCCCTTCGCTCCATATCATACTTCGCAAATGAAGCGATACGAGCATCAGCATCGGTCGAACGTTTGAGGGCGGGCGCGGTGGGCATTCGGGTCGGTATGTTGCACCTCGATAGGGCATCATAAGGGTACCTTTCATGGAAAAAGCGCCTGCTTAGGAGTGCCGAATTCTGCCCTGCTAGGCATGTTAATCGTACACGTCTTATGGTTAGGGACTTATCGTGCCACTTGCTTTCAAATTCTACCCCCGGCCACCCTCGCTGGGGATCCTCGACGTACGAAGTGCCCTGCATGGTGCGCAAACTTCAGGAGCAATGCACCTATATCGGAGAAACAGGAAGACCGCTCGCTAAACGTATCAAAGAACATCTAGCCAGCTTGAGGCGCGGTAATCTTACGATAGCGCTTGGGAAGCATAAAGCGGAGATGCATAACAGCGACAATAAAGTGCACAATATTGGCGCAGGAGACGGATATTGCGGCTAGGAAGGCATTAGAGGCGTTTTGGATTTCTGTCAGAAATCCTCGCATGAACAACCGAGACGAGCGTCCGTCAATTTCCAATGACCTCCTGTCGTTCATTCCGTATTGCGAGCTATAAAGTCACCAGTGCTACGTGCGTCTCCGCGTTTCGATACGTATAAGGAGACTCTACTCGGAATCCCTGAGATGAGGTAGGCGTGGCTGCGTACTTCAACTAAACGTCGTGGTGGCTGTGCTCTTGGAAAGACATTTTCATTTTGACCCAAATGTGGTCACGTCTTTTTCCAACAAAGAACAAGATGGCGGTTGAAATTTAAATATCCCACGAGTAACCAGTTCCGTGCCATGTTCGAATGCCACGCCTACCCCGTCTCAGGGATAAAGAGTATATGTAGTAAGTCTCATTCGCTACTGGTTGACTTATGGAATAGCGGATTATTCCGCGTCTACGGTGGAACAAAGGTGAGCGCCTTCGTGTTCTGTTGTGTGAGATTCTCGGTTGAGTTTCACTATGTCATCGGAAATGCTTGGGTGGATTAGGCGCTTGGCGGGGTAGTGCACATCTCTTAACCTCGAAACACTTTTAGGCCTCTGAAGAAGACGATTAGTCGAAACGTCAGGCCGTTAAATAAATAGTTCCACCTAAAAACCTCGTGAGGCACAATATAACATACTGAATTATTGAACAACTTCCACCTTGTATTTCGAGAACACCCTTACACACAACTACTGGTCCGGCGCAGGTCAAATTTGAGCAGCGCACTTCCCTCTTATGACGCCTGATTTGAAAATCCGGCGCTGATTTTCACCACTCAGGCTTCTTTTCAATTCTGGGGATTTTTTTTTGAGTAGGTTCAGCAAATTTCACAGATACACAGCCAAAGGTACTAGATTCCAAACAGCATAGTAACCGCTGCCCTATCCCCTTTGCCTTTGTGCCATTCTTCTATATTTCTCCACATCTTTGAGAGGGATGACCTAATACTTTTAGGATGGCAGCCTGAAACTGGCTGTGGGGATTTTTTGCAAAATATGAACTAATATAATTTATTTTCATATAATATAATATGAAAATATGAACTCCTTCTTCCCCTTTCCCCTCCCCTTCCCGCGATTCTTCTTCTTTCTTGTAAAAATTTCTGGAAAACGTTGGCACAAAGCTGTAGGGGAGTTATAGCGCACTTGAAACAAACAAAAAACAAAAAAAATTGTATTTCAGCTCAGGGATACCAATTCCTTCTTGAGGGGTGAACCTATCCGTAGCTGACAGCCTATGAGTCTATTCGCTTTATGACCGTATCAAGACGACTAAGTAGCATCAAAACGCAATAAGTATAATGCGAAGCATGATCATAGTTCCACCCATGAATCTCACAAAATCCCGTCTTACACGACGTTTTCAAAAATGCCCCCATACAAAAAATGTGGTAATTACCAATACCAGTTCGCGTGCCACACACCACACACTAACTTGAAAGAACAATTTTTTTCGCCAATTTTTTGTAAAATGGTCGGTCTGGCAATGTAGCAAAATAGTGGTTCCCCGCATAATTTCCCACTGCATCTCATTTTTAATAGGTAAAACTTCTCATCATTGTGACTTCTTGCCTATTCTAGGCTATGGCAAGTGGGAGTTCATTTTGGACCTGGAAAAAGGACAGATTATCGCAAAAAAGACTCAAAAACTGTTGAACCGTCGAATCACGCGGTATTCGGGCCGCATTCATCATGTTATCAACAATTTTGACAAGGAACCTACAGGATATTGAGTTGAGAAGAGCTCTAGACTTCCTCCTTTGCTACCCGATCAAAATAAGCGCTGTATCCTTAGGAAAGCACCCATCTCTGCAGTGTCGGGGAATTAAGTCATCTTCGGAGGTTAATGTCTCGAAGGATACTGTTAGGACGTGTCTTGAAAAACTCCTGAGTTCACCCACAGGAGGAATATGGTTAGGCACTGTTTCTAACAAAAAACCAAAAAATTGGTTTTTCGCGGAAACCAAATTGGCTTTGCTAGAGGATGTTACCGAACCGATGCGGGGTAAGGTTAGTTTTCACTTGTGATTCACTCGTCACCAAACCGCCCTTTTGCCTTGGCCAGCGAGTAGCCCCGACTTAAACCCAATCAAGGATGTGAGGGGCTTTATGGTGCGTATGATCTATGCGAACGATGCACAATTCCACAATGTCCGTGAGCTTAGGGAGTTAATCATTGGTGCAGTCGGCCGAAAGCCTATTGAAAACCTCTAATCGAGCATGGGCAACGTATTTTCCAGCTTAATCGGAGAAATGGAGTTCCAGTAAATTAGTGAATCAAGAATTTATTCTTTTGTTGTAAACTTGCTGTTGAATTATTCGATTTGTTCGGTGAAACTATCATTTTGCTGCATTGTTAGAACGACTATTTATCAAAATTTTTTTTTCAAGTCAGTGTTCGAAGTTGACATGCGAATTGATATTGGTAATTAACACATTTTTTAGTTGGGGCGTTTTTGAAACCGTCGTGTAAGAAAGGATTTTGTGAGTTTCATGGGTAGAACTATGATTACATATGTTTCGCATTGTATTTATTGCGTTTTGATGCTACTCAGTCGTCTCGATACGGTCATAGAGCGAGTAGACTCTTGAATAGGTTGTCAGCTACGGATAGGTTCACCCCTCACGAAGGAACTATGATTACGCTTCGCAGTGTATGTCTAAAAACAGCTGGCTCTAATCCCATCCTAATTCCACCACATTCATCCCTATGCGCGACTGATCAGCGTCTTATCCGCGCGCAGGCGCAAGAAAATTCGTGAGCTTTCTTGATACAGCTTTCATAGTTTAGAGCTTTTGTCTCCAAGGAAGGTTGCAAGCGTCGCGATAGGAGTTTCTGATGCAGCTTGTGCAAAATCCTTGAGGTCAATTTAAAATTGTGTTCGTAAACTTGGCGTTCAACGAGCGAGTTCGATGGGCCGGGCCAAAGGTAGGAAGAGCAGAGCACGGTGCCAAGATGTACGGAGCGCGCGAACGAAGTCAAGCTCCGCCTACTGTGGGCGATTTGTGCAGTCAACCAAGAGCCATATATTTGAAAAATTCGTAATTCGGTTCCAGAAGAGCTCGAGAGCAGACGGGACGAAAAACGTTGGAATTGGCACGCGGATGAGAGGAGGAATTGGGGAGACAGCTTCGGAGGGCAAACCAGGCAAATAAAATCCATAGATTCACCGAAACGTTCTCGACGATCCGTAAGACAGGGTTGTATCCACAAAAATCACAGAACTCCTTAGTAAATGGGTGAGGGAGTGTATGCGACGACTAAACCGGCAGTGTTCGGTAACTTTCAGCAAAGGAAACGCTCCAGGCAAAGCATCGCTCTGACCTCAAGAAAATTTCGACTCACGAAGTGTCCGAAAAAAACAGAGAAAAATAGCAAACCTCGAATGAACAGAAGATAAGTAAATAATACGGGTTAACCGGACATTTGACTCAACATCCAGCATATGGAACACACCTAGGAAATCATGTCACACACTTTTATGAGAGCTGCTCCCCAGAGAGGAAGGACCATAACAGAGAAAGGAGAGAAAAAGCTACAGAAAACGTCATTCGAAACACAGTACAAGTTCAGAACTTGAACTTTGCTAGAATATACTGCTAGATTCCGAGAAAAAAAACAGTGAGAAGTAAAGAAAGAATCCCAGTCCCAGCAACCTATAACTTCATGCGAACAAAGTAAGCAAAAATGAGAAATCTAACTTTCAAAAATTCAATGTTGCCGCGCATTTTCGCAGCTGGCAAAATGCCAAGCAGCGTTACCGTAGCATTGGGTGTGCAAAAGTGTATGGGCGTCAAGAAGGGCGGTGCGTGAAATTTACAGATGTTCTATTTCATGGAATTCTTCGAAAACTGTTGCGAAGAAATAAGTCCTTAGTTCGAGAAATCACAAACTTTTTCTGTTTGCATTGATTGGGAATAATAATTAACTTCTCTATCCTCTTCCAATTTATATTGTACCTTACCAAGTTTTAACAAAAATGTTTCATGCCGGTTTTTTCGTTAAAAGACGTACTTTCTTTGTTGTCAACTTCCTTGATTTTATTTGTTTTCGTAGTTAGGGAGAACCACATTTTCTGTATGGCCTCGCAGTTGGCTCGCTCTCTTGCCCGAGCTGCAATTTCTCGAGGCAATGTAGTCAGGGCATTCTCGACTACGAACATTCTGTCCGCCAAAGATGATGTCATGGAGAAATGGCCGGCTGAGAGTAAGTTAATCACAAGCTTTACTTATTTCATTATCAGCTTCTCTTAGGACCAACTGTGCCAATCTCCAAATATGCTGCCTCTTCTTTTTTTGTAATATTATTCTTCTTGATTCATCTGTCACCTACGAATTCGCAGCTGCATAAAAGCAATAATGTTCTTTCGATGAGCTTTACCAGTGTTCAATAAATTAGTGATAGGTGGATATAAAAAAATCAACGTAAAGAATGATGTACGAAAATACTTTTAGAGGTAAACTGTTCTAGAACTGATTGTTGGAAGAACATGAAATAAAATAACCGGCAACGATGTAAAAAAACTTACAACTTACTTAATTAAAGTATTGTGATTAACTACAATTTCTCTTAATTTTACTTTTATGATATAGTTTTAGTTCTAGCATTATTTTCATTTTCTAGCTTCTCTCTTCTAGCAGCCATAGGTAGTTATGTGAATAATTATATGTCGTTTGAGGTAGCTATATGGTATTTCGAAGTGATCTTACGTTTCCTTTTAATCGTTGTCTTCGGAGGCCCACGGTCCCTTTTTTGAGCGGAAGAATCCGCAGTCACACTGAGTAAAAGCGTTAGTAAATAACGAGAAACTCAACAAAAACTCGCTACTTCCTGACGCTCAAGTGTGATTGCGGACACTTCCGCGCAAGAGGAGGGATATTGAGCTCCCGAAGATGACGATTTGGTCGAAACATTAAGCCACTTCAATAAAGTTCCACCTATCTACCTTAAGGGTTACATAAATAATACTAACACACAGGCACGCCATCGCATTGTGATCAATTCCTGAAAAATACCCCCTCCCTAATTCCATCCTCAAATACGACCCCCCCCCTCTCCCCATGCTACCTACCACTTTCC